GATATTGTTCAAATCGTTTGTTCACCTAAAATGAAATATGTAGCTACTACGTATAAATTTAGATATGGATCATCTACTAATGACTCGCAGGATGGAGAGGAGCGGAAGGATATGTATGATGAAGGTGGTAAAATTAGGGAAGCAACCCTATGGTCAGTATCTAAAACGGCTGAAAAGAAGTTGAAGTGGGTATCTGCGATTAAGGGATATCAAATCAAGGATCCAAAGCCTATATTATGGGCTGTTTCAGATGATAAGTACATTGTATTTAAGACAAACTATTTTTATTACAATTTTGGTTAATATCTTTACCTTTTTCTTTCGCTACTCCGATTTTATCATAATTTATTAATAAAATGTATAAAAAAAAAATTTTTTTATAAAATTAGAATTATTCGATGCGAAAGGGATACACAAAGATCTTTTCTTTCCTAACGCTCACAATTTAGTAAACCAACTAGCTTTCGTCCCAAATGGCGATCACAACGATTTAGTAGTTGCTCTAACCGAACCTATGCATCAGATATATGTATTCAAACTAAAAAATAGAGAATGGATTTTATATAATAAATTTGAATTATCATATTTTTGCGATGCCACCATTACTGATGAAGGAAAATTGATATTATTCGATGATAAGATATTTCAATTAACTAAATGGAATATTAGAACATCAGCGTTTGAAACAAATTTTATGATTGATTGGTGTTATAAAGTTAGTCTTGTAGAATTAAATCAGGGTGGTGAACTTTTGGCTGTTTATGCTGTTTATTTACAGGATGAAACACCAAAGAAATCTAGACTTTACATTTATTCCCTAAAAAGTGGGATTAATATGGCTTATCGTAAGTTTTATTTTTATTTTTATTATATATTATAATCTAATATTTTCAACTTAACGTATTCAATATATTTGTACCAGATGATTATGACGAAAGAATAGTTGTAGACAGCATCTACTTTATTGCTTATGAAGTTGGAGAACGTCTACTTATTAAATCACACAATCAGTTTAACAAAGAACGATATATTGACTTAATGGATCCATATACTCTTAAAAACCTGTTTCCGTTAAGAAATTATTTGAATCTGACGTGCAGATTCGAGACCCTTATATAATAAAATCAGATAAAAAATCCGACAATGTTATCGGTATAATGAATGAAAAGTTGGACATCTATGACCTAGTTAAACCGAATAATTGGATAAAATATATACGGGAAGAGCTTGGCGATTATAATAGGCTATATGTACTTTCTGATTGTGTATATATTGCAAACATGATTAAGGATGAATTAAAAGGAAAATATTTCAATGGATCAGAAGTTCCAACAGAGGAAAACAACGAATATAAATTCTCAGGTAGCTTTTTGAGATGGAATTTAATTTACAAAAAACATAATAATAGACCTGGTTTTTTGATTGAAATCGAAGCCGAAATATTTGATCAAAATAATAGTTCTTGGAGGCCAGTGGAAGGAGAATCCAAAAGAACCATAAATCCTAATTTACAACCTCCAGAACACACGAAAAAAACTTAAAATTATGAAATGTCATTGCCTTGGCAATGATGATTTACTCATGTTAACTAATTTTGGAATCTTAGTTTGGACTGTTTATTTACAAAAAGGAGTTAGATTACATTGTTATTGGGGAAGAGCAAGAATTAGAAATGAAAAAAGGTTCAATTTATATTTAGGAGATAATGCTGTAAACCCATTCAGTGTACCATCCGAATTAAGACCCTACGCCATTGCATTTCCTAATTCAAAATTTCAGATCATAATTAAAAATAAAAACTTGACATTTGGCGATAAGAAACAATTCCTTTTTAAAGAATTATTAGAAGACTATATTTCTGACAAATTTTTAATAATCAATTATGGTTCAACTCTGATGAACACCTTTTCATTTTTAAAAGATGAGTGGGTTGAGAAATTTTGTAAAGCATGTTCTGATATTGTTTTCTCAACAGAAGGTCTTAGATCTACCTCAGACATTCAATTATTATCCATCATAATTGAAGTCTTTCCTCAATTATCACAAGTGCATAAACCTTATTTAACTAGATTTTTATCTCAAACTGCATTTGTGGTGCCATTAGCAGATCCTGAAATGATATTGGATAGTGAAATTATTAAAGCATCATCTACTCCACATCTATACCATTTTGGAATATATAATAACTTAAAAAAGAAACCTTCTTTAATTGATAACATCCTTTCAAACATTACTTTTAATTGGAATAGGTTGATGCATATATCCGAACAGGAAATGGAAATCTATCAACCACGCGCTGACGACACTCTTACAAGTGTTGAAGCTAAAATCAAACTTCTTATTCCTCTTCCAAATTTTGTTAATTATCCTAAAAAATATAGCACCTGGAGTGAATTGATTAATCCAAACACTAGTTGCTTTATAAACTTTGATGATTTATCCCTTTACAAAACCTGGAATGGTGAAGCGATTATTAATTTTAAATGGAATACTTTTGGTAGAAAATATTATTTAGTAATTTGGGCAATATATACAATATTTTCTTGTAGTTTTATTACATTTCTTGGGATTATCAACTTTTTTTCTTAAATACTGCTATTATTCTTGGATTTTGGCATCTATTTTTTGAAATTCGTCAATTTTATTTCTCACCTCTACATTATTTTTCAAGTACTTGGAATTATACAGGTAAATTCCTTATCAAAATTATTATTAGTTTTATGTATACTTACATAATAATTTAACTTTAATAGATCTTTTTGCTATTATATCTACTATATTAACATCCATTTATTGGTTAATGAATGGAACTGCTTCTATTTGGGCTATCACATTTTCAACTTTATTTCTTGAATTAAAATTTATTCTTTTTTTCCGAGTTATGCCATTTTTTGGAATTTATTTAGCTATGATTATGAACACAATAGATAAAGTATTATCTTTTTTGATAATTTTGGGGCTTATCATTCTTGCATTTGCGCACGCATTATATCTCTTGTTACAATCTACTTCTGAAATATCACAAATTTCCAATGGTAGTCATTTAATAATTTGATTGTTTAATTTTTATTTAAAGAAAATTAACTGTATTATAAATCTATATTTAGGTACAAATGCAAGCATGTTTGAACAATTTGGTTCTTCAACGCTTGCATCATTTTATATGATAATAACAGGTAATTTATATATATATATTGTATTAGTGTATTAAATATTAATATTTATTTTATCATTATTTATTTTAGGAGATTTAACTCCTATTTCATTATGGGTTTCTGATAACAATATTGTAGTAATGATCGTAATGGTTTTATTTTCATTTTTTATCCTAATTTACTTAATGAATTTATTTATTGGGATCCTTAGTAATCTAATTATACAGACAATTATGCCGCTTATCTAGCATTAAAAAGAGAGGTATAATTTTTAATTTATTAAAATTAGAATATATCTTATATTGTACTTATATTTTATTTTAGATTATTGTAGAAATTGAGCTATTTTATTTGCTACCTTATCAAAGAAGAAAGAATATCTGGTTTCCAAATATTTTGTAAGTAGTCAAATAAAAAGTAAAAAATATTAACTTTTATTTTATAAAAGTTTTTATCAAGTTAATCTAAATGAAATTCGAAAGTTTTTTTTCAAAATTCAAGCGGAAAATTGGGATAAGCATGAAATACCTTTTTTTTCTCAAATTATTTTAAAAGCTATTCAATATGATGACATATCTAATGAATTAGAAACTGAAGTTTATGAAAAAATTAAAGATTCAACAAATTTATTAGCAGAAAAATATGAAGAGTCAGAAATGCAAATTAAAGAGGTAAAAAATTTGATTACAAATTTGACGAAAGAATCTGAACTGCAAATTAAAAAAATTAAAATTTTGATTACAAATATAACGAATATCTTAGCTGAAAAAGATACATAAGTTATTTAAATTTTTATATTTTAAATTATATATTGAAATTTTTAAAATTATTTTAAAGTCTAGAGAGATGTATATAATTGTTTCATTTTATCATTATTTATATTTTGGTATAATTGAAATTAAAATTAAATATGAATTAGTGTTTAATATTAAAGTTTCTTTATCTAAATTTTTATTAAAAGCTTGAATAAACAATCTCGTTATAGCAGACCCTCTTAAAGCGCTATAATAAAGCGATTCTATAGGCTTTTAAAAAATAATTGTATAATGTTATCATTTTAGATTATTTTACTATTGAAGGTTACTCGAGACAAAGCCTTTTTGTTTACAGTTTGCGAGTTAGGTTTGTTCGGTTTTAACTTTTGCTGTGTAATATTTAAAGATGTCCAGCTTAATAAGATTGAGACTTTCCATTAATGATGGGCAAAATGCGCATTTTAAAAAAAATTCAAAGTCTCGAGACAGAAGACGCAATGAATAATCTCTGGATAATTCTTTAGCACGTAACTAACCCTGCGTGTAGGGCTTCTCTTCATATTTTGTACTATTTATTTTAATTTCGGTTAGTAAAGAATCTGTAAGATGATATATTAGTCTTAAATATAGCTTACCTAACGGGTTGAATGTATGGTGTTTGGATTCGCAGCTTGTCTTTTGCTGAACATCGGAAAAAATTTTTATGCTGTTCTGCGCAGATTTGCAAAAAATCAAATAATAAATTAAATGAAAATCTGTGCAAAACTTCAGACTCACCAGCTATAGCTACAGGAATTAAAATACAGTTCTGCGCAAAATTTCAAAATATAAAAAATTTTGTAGTTTTTTGCAAAAATCTGCATTTTCACAGGTTTTTGTAGATTTGCACTTATTTAATTCTCCCGATGAATGCATAGTGGAAGTCTGCAACTCGTCTTACAGGGAAGTAATTTAATGTGCAGCTTAATGGTTATCATGTCAGATTACAGTGCTTTTCAATTTACTGTGATCAGCTGTCGATCATCAATCACACGGAAATCGGTTGATTTCCTTTAAATTCGTCATTTTTTTAAAAATTCACACTTTAAAAATAAGAATTCCAAAGATTTCTTGTTGATTTTTAATTCTTTAGCGTTAAATCTATCATTATACTAATTTTGTAGTTGGTTATTTGATTGTAATAATAAAAATTCCCAGTTTTTTTGTTGCAAATTTTATCATTTTAGATGCCACGATCTTGTAGTGAAGATCTCAAATGGCGCATAATTTATTTGCATTACGATGGATATTCTAAAAAGGAAATTGGATCATTTCTTTATATAAGTATATCGTTGGTAAACAAAATACTAAAAATTTATCAAGTTCTGGGGCGAAAGAAAACCTTTAATAGAAATGATATTAACGTATGTTGAAAGTTAACATAGGATTTGTATAAGTTATATAATAATTATTCTAACTTTATTTATTTAGATTTTAAAAGATTTAGTTAAAGAAAAGGTCAATATGTATTTAGACGAACTTGTTTATGAAATGGAGCGACGTACGGGAAAGTCTGTTTCAGTTTCAACTTTATGGAGGTCTTTGGTATACTGTGGCATTACACAAAAAAAGGTTAATTTTTTATAAAGTTTTTTAGAATTAGTATTTATCTATTTATTTAGCTTCGTAAAAAAGCAAAGGAATGTAATGAACTTGTAAGAAGTGCCTTTATGGCACGTGTTGGTGCACAGTATAAGTCTGAACAATTTGTATTTGTAGATGAATCGGCCAAGAATGAACAGACTATCTCAAGAAGTTATAGATATTCAGCTGTAAACACTATGGCAAACAAAAGAGTAGTATTCATACATGGAACAAGATATACAATCTGCCCAGCTTTAACCTTACAAAGAATTATCGCTGTTGATATCATAAAAGGAAGTTGTACAAAGTCTAGTTTTAAGGAATTTATAATAAATCAAGTAGTGAGTAATTATTTTTTTTATTGTTGCAAATAATAAATTAGATTTATATATTTACTAATATTTATGTATATTTAGTTACCTTATATAAATCCATTTCCGCATTCAAATAGTATTTTGGTTCTAGACAATGCCCATATTCATCACGACGAAGGGTTATGTGAATATTTACATGCTTTTGAAGTGCGTGTAGAGTTTCTTCCTCTGTATTCACTCTATTGAAGAAGCATTAAAAGGTATTTACAACGGAATCACTATTTTGTTGAGAATTCTGAAAATCTCAAATACCTATTATTGGTTGCATGCGCGCAGATTGCATCTGTGACAGCAAAAAAAATCATTGAAGCTGCAGGATACAAATAATAATAAACATTGGGTTTCTTATATAATTTTTATTTTGTAAATAATATGGAATTTCTTTGTATTTGTAACTGTATTCATATTTTTATTTTAGAGAATTTTTTTTTTCTTACTAACTGAATAACCATCGGATAGCATACTTTTCTAAAGATAGGTGGTATACTTTTCTAGAAACAGATAGTATACTTTTTCTAGAGATAGAAAAAATTGCAATCAATATACTTCGCTAGCTTAGTATCAAGTATATGAGCCTTAAAAAGTTAGGCAAGTGGAAATGAAAAAATTGATTTGACTCACTATGTATAAGGAAGTAGTCAAATGGATTCTTTTTGGCAATATCCAAAAAATTGATAAGATTTTTAAATGTATTAGGCTCAGTGGAACTACCAAGAAAAAAGATTATAAAGAGGATAACTCTCTTATTTTTTTGTTGCTTAATAACTACAGATTTAAAAAGTAAGAAGAGATATACTATATAATCACATGATACAGTAACACGCATGCTATAATAGATAAGTCTCTTTTTTTTTTCTTTTTTTTTTTTTTTTTTTTTTTTTTTTTTTTTTTTTTTTTTTTTTTTTTTTTTTTTTTTTTTTTT